CCATGCCACTGGGAACCGAGTTCCAAGCAGGGATAGGATGAGGATCATATCGTCTTCACCTCAAGTTCAAGAGACCAGAAGGGATCTCAAACCCCCTTGACTTTGGAAAAGGGCACATGTTAAGGAGAGAAAATGATATATCAATCCTGGAACCCGATATTCGGAATCAAAAATATGTCTACCATAGAGAAATCGACTCTCTCAACATTTAAACTGACCGGAACCAACCCAGGTGCAATAATGTCCTCAGAATAAGATACATCTAGGGAGAGCAGAAGGGAAAGAACCATAACAATCCCAAGTACCTCCACCATGACCCACAACACAGTTGGAGTATGGTTGAGAACTTATGTCGATTGGTTCTAGTCTAAGTCCAAAACCTGGACAGTGGGAACTGACATCCACATGGGGGTAGGATGAGGAATCCCAATCAAAGGGGTAAACTGCAATTTGACGTCTCACTCCTTTGGTTTACATATGCTTTATAGTGGAGGATATCACATCTTCTACAACAGCAGAACACCACTGCCCTACTCTGCATTGAATGGTATTTCTGTATTGAAATTTTATGTCATTAAAATATTCAGGAGGATGGCTACACAGTCCACCACCTCAGCAGCTTGGAACTGGAAAGTAGTAAGAACTCCCAAACTACACTAGAAGAAAAAAGGGTGAGATGCGGTGTAGAGTCCAGAGAAGTGTCAACACCTGAGACAGTGCAATAGGTGACCACAAAAACCATTTTTAAAAGCAGACCATATCAATTTATTTAGTACAAGGCATGGCAAGGATGGGCAGCTATCCCCTTCTGCTTTACCCATGTAGTCCATGGGTGGTAGGGTCCGGGACAAGCATATTTATGAAGCTATTTCATCGCAAGGATAACCCTCAAGCAATCTTGTGGAACACCTCATCAGGAACATATTAAGCATATTGACACAACTGAACAGTGCAGAAGTTAAGGGTTAAAGAATATCTGGTCAGGTAACACTCTCCACACAGCGGGATCCTAACATTGAGAATTATGATGAAAAGGGAAATAAGGCCTGTCAAAAACTTAAAAAAAAGAACAAATATAACTTACCCAGTCTCATAGTCACACAGAAGTCTGAAGAACAGCTACAGGCAGAATACAATATCCTGATAAGGAAGAAATGCAAATAATGAGAGATGAATGTATTAGGTATAGTTCATATGCCCGACTGAATATTTTTCTCCAATGGACGATGAAGATGAGATGCCAGAGAAAAGATACGGTGTCAAATTTGATAAGAAGACACTTGGAACAAAGCATAGGAGGATGATGAATGAGAGGAATAAGCCAATCTAATCAAAAGCTGAACACAATTGGTGAAGGTGAAAGAAGAAAGATAACAAACAGAGGATGGTTGCCAAGGCATAAGGAGGCAGGAACAAGCACTACAGTTGGAAGCTGTGCGGGCATTATAACATCAAAGACCACATACAGGACATAGGAGTCTATCCGGATCAGGCCTAGGATAAAGGTGGGAAATCAATGAAAATGAGGAGTTACCCTTCCTAGCTGTCAGAGTTTTAGGGAGGAAAGATGGATCTGGATAAGATATGTAGGATGATAAAGAGCATTTGAAGCATTGATGGCAAATAAATCAAACCACCGATGTCTACAGGCTAATAAGATAAGCAAATTAGTCTTAAGGGAAAGGTGAAACAAGGAGCGCGTGGATAATGTTTCTAATGGAGGCAAAGTGAGGCAATGGAGGACCACATTAAAATCTCAGCACAGAAGGGCAGCCCACTGTAGAGGATGATGAATCTGGAAGAAAAGCATAACAGGGAGAGTGTAGGAGAGGTAAAAACCCTAAAGTATCAAGAAAAATGGTAGGTGTGGAAACATCAACAGTCAGGACAAGAGGATGAGGGACCAAAGTCCAAAACAGAGAAAATTTGTGGTTGAGGGATGTGGCAAATGAATCAATGTGAGGAGTATCCCACTGAAGGCAAAGCCATTGGAAAACCATAAGGTCAAGAGACCACTCCATTTGGTAGATACTGTCTGGACGGGAAAGACAATCTGCGACAAGATTGAAAGCACCCAGAACATGACATGCAATGACATGAATATCATACATGTGGGCCCAGAAAAGAAGATCCAACATGTGAAAATATAGGGATCAAGAATGGATGCCACCCTGGTGATTGAGATAAGCAACCACTGTGGAATTGTTGGAATGAATCAGTACTTGACGATGTCTGGCCAGATGGAGGAAATGATCCAAGGCCTGATGAGCAGCAAGAAGCTTCAGAGTGTTGATATGTTAAGTCTTCTTGGCCAAAAACCAATACCCCAAAGCCTCCTGTTGATTGACCCACGCCCCCAAACCAGCAAAACAGACCCCAACAACTGAGAATATAGAAATGGAAGCCTGCATAGTGGTATGCCAAAACAAACTGATCTGTAGCCCTTGGGGGCAAGGCATACTGGCATTCTCAACCAACTGGAAAGCAAAATGCTCAGCATGAAGCCTAATATCCAGGAAAGATGGGAAAACTAAATAAGGAGAAGACCTATCATGCAACAAAGGAGGACGAGAATCATAGGAAATCAGGGAAAGGGATAAAACATCACATACCTGAGAAATCAAATTTAAAAACGCTGTATTAGGCCTAGCTGATTCTGCAAGTGGAGCATAGGAAGACACAGCAAAACCCAATGGTGGAAAAAGGCTATCAAAATCATCATTAGAATGAACAGGTTTGGATTGTTCGTGAGGAAGTGGGGCAATTTCAGGAGAAAGTGGTTGATCCATATAATGATCAGTCTCTCGGCGAATAATCACAGATAAAACAATGATGGGTCGCCCCCATCTGCAGCCAGTGAAAAAGTGCTTATAGTAGGTGTGAGACTAAATTGAGAGATAAATACAAATGTGTGAAAAATAACAAAAAAAATAAAGATTGGAAAGTAAATGTAAACTAAATTCGTCAGCTGTATAATCAAAAACAATTAAAAAATCCACTTCAGAAGTATAACTGGTAAAGTTACAAAGACAAAGCATATGAGAGCAAAATTTAAAACACAAGCACTGCCAAATGAGAAGTGATAATTTGGTAGATTTGAATAGAGGGAGTCACATGTGTAACGAGTGTGTGGTACTCCAACTGGTGGAGGGTTGTCACATGATTATTTGCATGAGACACATTAGAATGAGTCATTTCCAATGGACGGGAGGCAAAAGGATTTTTTGCATATAGAGGGCAACTCTGAATGACAATAACTAATTATGTGAGTGGAGGTAATGTAACATATCAGAAATTATAGTTCTATTAGTCTATTTTATAAATAACAGCTTTAATGTAAATCATAAGACAAGAAACATAATTCTATAACAGTATATTTCTTCAATAAATGCTTTAAATTTAAGATGTTAGACAAAACACATTATAATTCTATTATAGTCTATTTTATCAATAATTACTTTTATGTAAAATATTAGGTTAGTACAGCCCTTGACAAATATTTTCAGATCTAGAAACCAGCCCAAAAACTTAGGAGCCAGGTGTGCCTAACCTAACTTCACTACTGTTTGTATTGGGAAATGGGGGATACACTAGTGCCTTGATTCTCCATGTCTCCATCATCTGTGGTTTTTTATTTTCCCCAGATTTTCTCAAAATAGCTGTGCCATTACAAATCTAGACAATAATTTACATGTTTTGGAGAAACTGTTACTCAGAACTTAATTTTGGTAGCAAAAGTTCATATGTTGTAGGATATCTGGAGTTTTCATGTTGGTCAGTTCAAACATAGCCTTGCCTCTTTTATTTTCAGCTATTAAGACAGGAGTACAAAATATTTGTAGCTTGGTTAACTGTATTTGATTACTGATCAAAAACATAGCATACAAAAACACATGGGCATCCTTTAACCACAGATGCATGTTCAGGTTGTGTTGGGGTGTTGCCCAGTTACGCATTGTCCTCTTCCCTAGAAATAATTGGTATCTTCAGTCTGTTTTAACAAATATGTTTCATAATAATTCCCAAGCATAGACTTGCACTAATTTTTTACTTAGTTTTCACAGTAGTTGATAAAGTGTGAATGCACTTTCGTGTCTATAGTAGAAAAAGTGGCAAAATTTAGGAGCTATTTAAGCCTATGTTGCAGATTAAATTGAATGAAAACAGGAATGGTCAATCAAAAGAGGAAGTATTATAGGAGAGAAAGTGGCAATGGACTCGTGTAACTCACGAAAAAATCTGAGAAATCAAGTGTGACTGACTGACCGACCTATACTTGGCTTTTATGATAATGATTGTGATGACTTTTATAATTTTTCATGATAATGTGAATAAACAATAGTAAAAAGATTATAATTTAAAACAAGGAACCTAAATATACTGAAAAATTTTCTTTAGATTAAAGAATGGGCTAACTAGTGAGATATACTATTGTCTCAATTATTTGTAATTTCTATTATCTACAATTTTTTGCTTTCCCCAGACCAGTGCAGCTAATCAAGGCACCAGTGTATATTTACTTACTTTCACAGCAAAGAGTGCTTGCTAACGATTACATGATATCAACAACCACTTGATAGAACTGCCTGAACTAAATACCTTTGGTCCCGTCTGAGTCTAAACATACACTAATTGGTTGAATTGAGAGAAAGATGAATTACAAAATACTGCAAAATTAGTAACATGTTCTGTAACCACAGCATCTCATTCCTGATAAAACATGAAGAAATGTTAAATCCACCAATAAAATCCTAGAAATGAAGTTCAATTTAGGATTCATGGAATGCAAAAATAGTTCTCGACTTCCAAGAGTTCACAACTATTTTAGATTTGAGTTCTGTTTAGCACAGCCCTACACACAAATAAAATGGGAGAAAATACTAAGCACTATAATGAAAGTTCTAATCACCATGGTGACCTGACACTCAGGATTTGTCGAGCCCTGGACTGGTATTATTAAAATGGTCATAAATACGTAAAAGACAGGAGTCTATACTTGCCTCTGAAACCTGCATAAAAATGTGGAGTCGTTCTACTTTAGTTTCTTCATAGTTGTTACCACCCAAAGAACCACTAGGACTAGCAGCAAGAGATATTTTTGGGTTCTTAGATTCTTTTTGTAACTTGTCAGTAGCTTGTTTCTGAGCCTCAGCTCTCAGCTGTCCAAGATATAACACTTTTTCCTTTTTCAGTTGGTTGAGTTTCTCTACATGATCTGAGCAAGCAGCATGCAAGTGATTCAACACAGTCAAAGGATGAAGGCCAGCCAAAGTAGGGCTGATGGCATCGACAAAGCTGGAAAGTAATTGAAACTGTGTAAAATAAGGTTTAATGACTAAAACCAACTTGAAAACAAATTACAACTGAATAAAATAAGCAATGACACTCAAACATGAATAAAAATATGAAAAACAGTTAATTGCAAACAAGAGGGAAAAGAACTATTTTTCAGCTAACCATCTTGATATATATACATAGAAACTTTAAACCACTATTTTTGTGTCAGCATTATTTGAATCTTTACATATAGATTGTTACCACTAGTTTTTGGATTAGTATTATTTGAATCTTTATGTACAGATTGCTACCACTAGTTTTTGTGTCAGCATTGTTTGAATATATATATATATATATATATAGATTATTAACACTAGTTTTTGTATTAGTATTGTTTAAATCTTTATATTTCGATTGTTACCACTAGTTTGTGTGTTAGCATTGTTTGAATCTTTATATTTCGATTGTTACCACTAGTTTTTGTGTTAGCATTGTTTGAATCTTTATATTTCGATTGTTACCACTAGTTTGTGTGTTAGCACTGTTTGAATCTTTATATTTAGATTGTTACCACTAGTTTGGGTGTTAGGATTGTTTGAATCTTTATATTTAGATTGTTACCACTAGTTTGGGTGTTAGGATTGTTTGAATCTTTATATTTAGATTGTTAACACTAATTATTCTGTTGACATTGTTTGAGTCTAAAAATATATACATGTTGCTCCCACTAGTTTTTGTTTAAGCATTGTTTAATCTTTCTAGATTGTTACCACTATGTTGTTACTACTAGATTCGGTGTTAATATAATGTTGAGAAACTGCTACTATTAAATTCAAAGTTAGTATAGAGTTGAGAAACTATTAGTACTAGATTCTATGTCAATATAATGTTGAGAAAATACTACTACTAAATGCAAAGTTAGTATAGTGTTGAGAAAATACTACTACTAGATTTTGTGCTAGTATAGTGTTAAGGAACTACTACTACTACTAGATTATACATTACTACAGTGTTGTGAAATTGAAACTACTAGATTCTACATTAGTAAAGTGTTGAAAAACTACTACTACTAGATTATGTTAGTATAATGTTGAGAAACTACTACTACTAGATTCTGTTAGTATAATGTTCAGAAACAACTACTACTAGATTATGTTAGTATAATGTTGAGAAACTACTACTAGATTCTGTGTTAGTATAATGTTCAGAAACTGATACTACCAATACTATAATGTTGAGAAAGTACTACTACTAGATTCTGTTAGTATAATTTTGAGAAACTACTGCTACTAGGTTCTGTTAGTATAATGTTGAGAAACTACTGCTACTAGATTCTGTTAGTATAATGTTGAGAAACTACAACTACTACTAGATTCTGTTAATATAATGTTGAGAAACTACTACTACTACTAGATTCTGTTAGTACAATGTTGAGAAACTACTACTACTACTAGATTCTGTTAGTATAATGTTTAGAAACTACTACTACTAGATTCTGTGTTAGTATAATGTTGAGAAACTACTACTAGATTCTGTGTTAGTATAATGTTGAGAAACTACTACTAGATTCTGTGTTAGTATAATGTTGAGAAACTACTACAAGATTATGTGTTAGTATAATGTTAAGAAACTACTACTACTAGATTCTGTTAGTATAATGTTAAGAAACTACTACTACTAGATTGTGTTAGTATAATGTGGAGAAACTGATACTATTAGATTGCGTTACTACAGTGTTGAGAAATTGCAACTTCTAGATTCTGTGTTAGTGTAGTATTGAAACTACTACTGCTACTAGATACTGTGTTAATATAGTGTTGAGTAACTGATACTAGATTATGTGTTACTATAGTGTTGAGAAACTACTACTACTACTACTACTAATTATTAGGCTATTTAATCAGTTATTCTCACATGAGACTTTAAAGTTGGAATAATTGATATAGTAATAATAGTTACACTAACTCCAATTAATTAATTATTTTCGTGAGTCATGACACTGATTACACTGACCAGCCCTGAATTAAAAGAAAATAATAATGACAATTTTCAATTACTTGGACTGTTGGAATAACTAAAAACAGTAATAATCAGAGACACTAATTTTTAGCAATTGATTATTTTTATGACATAAATTGGTTTAATCATAACTCTGATTAAGTGACACTATTCAATGTAATATACAGTTACAGATAATACATTATATTGAATAATCAAGTTAATCACCCAGCTCAAACTTTGGAAACTAAGAAGGATGCAAAAGCTCAACCAAAATCGATATTCTGGCAAATAGAAAAGGTGGTAAATGTCCTGGCGCAGAAAGAGTCAACTTACTTTTTGAAGGTTTCAGCTTGCAGGGGTGAACTCATGATGCTGATGTCACCACTCAACTTTACAACCATAGTAGTGCTACTGGTGTGAATTTCTTGTTTACCATCTTTCTCTTCTCCTGCAAGATTTAACAAAACACCTCATTACATGATACTATAACACTTCCTATATACCACACACTAATCATTCTTCATGATCACAAAATACTTTGTCAATATTATAATAATCCCAGTAGGTTAACTTTACTTCTACATAAGTACAAATTATTCTTATTGATCCACAAAATAATGTCACAAGAATACTAAAATAATCCCAACAACTTTATTACTATACAACAGATATAAATTATTCTTAATGATCCACAATGTACTGTGTCACAAGAATACTATAAAAATCCATACAATTTAACTTTACTTCTACATAAGTACAAATTATTCTTATTGATCCACAAAATAATGTCACAAGAATACTAAAATAATCCCAACAACTTTATTACTATACAATAGATATAAATTATTCTTAATGATCCACAATGGTACTGTGTCACAAAAATACTATAAAAATCCATACAATTTAACTTTACTTCTACATAAGTACAAATTATTCTTATTGATCCACAAAATAATGTCACAAGAATACTAAAATAATCCCAACAACTTTATTACTATACAAC